TCCCTCGCCAGGGAGGAGTACAGAAATCGACTTTAAGAGCCCTTTAGGTCGACAGAACGCTTTCATTGTAAAATCGACCTAACACAGCTAAATTCGACCTATCCCTGTAGTGTAAACCAGGGCTCACTGAAGATGTTATTATGCCGATGGAAGCGCTTCTCTTGTCGGTGTAGTTAATCCACCTCCATGAGAGGCAATAGCTCTGTTGACTGGAGAAGCTCTCCCATAGCACTGCCTACACCAGGGGTTACATCAGTATAACTACATTGCTCAAGGGTGTAGATTTTTCAAACCCCTGAGTGACATATTTATGCTGACATAAGTCTGTAGTGTAGACATGGCCTTAGTAATAATTGCTAATTTAGACGTAGAATTGTCAGACTCCAAATAGAGTCTTGACCATAGAGATTGGGGGTGTGCATGGCACATGAGGGATATAAAATTACACCTCTGTAATTGTTATTGTTTAATGATTGTATTTTGGTAGCCCCCAGAGGATAGGGCCCTGTTGTGCTGGCCACTGTACAAACATGTAACCAAGAGATGGTTACAATTCAATTGAAATGAAATACAACAGCTGGATAGATGGGAGGGGTGAGGGGGGAGAAGGAGCACAAGTTAAAGTAGGGAAATGGGAGAGAGATGATCCAAAAGACCACACAAGGTGGCATTTCTATGGACAGGGCTGTAATTCAGAATCTTATGCAGAGGAAGATACTGAGGGAGGGAACTGGGGGTCTAGTGGTTAGGGCAGACAGAACTGGAGTCAGGCCTCCAGGGTTCTAGTCCCAGCTCTGGAAATTGAGCACTGCATAGAACAGGATTAGGGCTGTAAGGAAAGATGGTGGGGGGGACGGATAGCTCAGTGGTTTGAGCATTGGCCTGCTAAACCGAGGGTTGTGAGCTCAATCCTTGAGGGGGCCATTTAGGGAACTGGGGTAAAAATCTGTCTGGGGATTGGTCCTGCTTTGAGCAGGGGGTTGGACTAGATGACCTCCTGAGGTCCCTTCCAACCCTGACATTCTATGATTCTATGATTAAGATACACATTTATTTCAAGTGGAAGGTGTCTAGTAGGAAGGATCTTCAAAATAAAAATTCTCTGAAGTGCATAGTACATTATACATAAGTTTGAATTCTTCCAAAATAGTACAATACATAGAGAAGGAATACAATGAACATAGAAGATGTGACAGATACAGCATGAATTCTACCCTCAAGCTCTTAACTAGAACTAGAAAAACAATTTTTGAGAACGAGGCAGTGATTTTCCACAGCTGGAGCAGAACCATACAAAACTGAGGAAATACAGTACATTTCCACTCTGTGGCTGTTCCAAGGAGACTTTAAAATGAGTTGTCAGGTACAATGTGTGGGTGTAAAATGAACTTCAATGGAGAACTTAGAGGATCTCTCTCACTTTGGCATGTAAGAAATTGCACTTTTCCTTATGCGTGGGAAATCTATTTATAAATGAGCAGTACTTTTTTTGTGGAAACCAGTTCAAAACAGAAGAGGAAGACCATCCTGTTGAATAACAGGACTCGCTTAGTTTCCAAACAGTTTACAAATAAAATAACTATCTACAGTATAAGGAGATACACAGCTGAGCAGAAGCAGCAGATACTTAACCAAACCAAGAGCAGTGTCACTGGGACCATTCTCATTAACTCTTTAAACATTTGCTATTGAAGAAAAAAATAAGAAGAAATCTGGCAAGGGGCTATTTTTTGTAAGCTATTTCAAGGAGCATAATCAGACAGTAGTAGAAGGGTAAAATAATGAACATGAACTATGTGTAGCTATTGGGGAAGGGAAAGATTTTATTTAGTGATAGTGTAAAATAGAAGAGCTTTTTATCTAAGAAAGTATCTCTCATGTGCTGTATGTTTTCAACATTAAAAAGAAGACCAGGAGTACTTGTGGCACCTTAGAGACTAACAAATTTATTAGAGCATAAGCTTTCGTGGACTACAGCCCACTTCTTCGGATGCATATTTAACATTAAATGCATATGCAACATTAAAATCCCTTTTCATGATTAATCAGCCCTACTCTTCACTCTATAAATGGGCATCCCTCTTTTTGCATTTTTCTTTTCCTTACCACCTAAGAGATATCTTTTTTAAAATGTATGGATAGGCCTTTTTGGTAGTGTTCAGCTTTATGCCTGTTTAATTCACATTTGATTTAGTCCTGGATTTTGTGGAAATATTAGTTCATTATGAAAATACCATGTTGTCTACAGTGATAGGATATGTTAATTAAATATACGGCTAATTAAGATTAACATTTATATAGAGATATGTACTTCATAGGAATTAGAGAAGGTAATAACATCTATTGGCATATCAGAAGTATATCCACTTTTTAGGAAGTATCTGCTTATATTTTAACACTTTTATTTTACATTATTTTGTTTAGTGTTATTCTGGCTATGGCAAAATAGCTCAATCAAATAGGAAGGTTTTCAGCCCTCTTCAAGCTGATTTGATTCTGTATTGTTTCATCTATTCTGGAGCCTCCTATATTAGGGAACCTGATCCATTTATTGCTTTGAAGATCATAGAATCGTAGGACTGGAAGGGACCTCAAGAGATACAGATGTGGTCTTCTCATCTCAAAAAAAAGTTATACTGGCATTAGAAAAGGTTCAGAGACGGGCAACTAAAATGATTAGGGGTTTGGAACGGGTCCCATATGAGGAGAGATTAAAGAGATTGGGACTTTTCATTTTGGAAAAGAGGAGACTAAGGGGGGATATGATAGAGGTATATAAAATCATGAGTGGTGTGTAGAAACTGAATAAAGAAAAGTTATTTACTTGTTCCCATAATATAAGAACTAGGGGCCATCAAATGAAATTAATTGGCAGTAGGTTTAAAACAAATAAAAGGAAGTTCTTCTTCACACGGCGCACAGTTAACCTGTGGAACTCCTTGTGAAGGACTATAACAGGGTTTAAAAAAGTACTGGATAAATTCATGGAGGTTAAGTCCATTAATGGCTATTAGCCAGGATGGGTAAGGAATGGTGTCCCTTGCATCTGTTTGTCAAAGAGTGGAGATGGATGGCAGGAGAGAGATCACTTGATCATTACCTGTTAGGTTCACTCCCTCTGGGGCACCTGGCATTGGCCACTATTGGTAGCCAGAATAGTGGGCTGGATGGACCTTTGGTCTCACCCAGTATGGCCAAACTTATGTTCTTATGAGGTCTTCTACTTCTGTTTCCTGCACTCAAGGCAGGGCGAAGTATTATCTAGACCACGGGTGGGCAAACTTTTTGGCCTGAGGGCCACATCAGGGTTCCAAAACTGTATGGAAGGCCGGGTAGGGAAGGCTGTGCCTCCCCAAACCCTAACCCTATCCGCCTCGTTCTACTTCCCCCCCCCCGACTGCTCCCCTCAGAACCTCCAACCCCGCCCTGCTCCTTGTCCCCTGACCATCCCCTCCTGGGACCCCCTACCCCTAACCACCCCCCACCCCTTATCCAAACCCCCCCTGCTCCCAGTCTGCCCCAACCCCTAACCACACCCCTGCCCCCTGACAGTCCCCCTGGAGCGCCACCCCCTATCCAATCCCCCCCAAAGTCCCTTTCAGAGTGCGGCCCTGTGAACATGGGTGGAAGACTCAGGAGCCGCAGGGGCCATGGGTGGAAGACTCAGGGAGGCGCAGCAGCAGCCGTGCAGCTGAAGAGAAGCTGTGGTTTCACCTTCAAAGCGCCGCTTTTCTCCGGGCGGCTGCCCGGTGCTCCTCCTGAGTCCTCCAGCCTCGTTCGCCGTGCTCATAGTGGCCTGAACTTTGGAGGAAGTGGGCAGCTTCATGGTGTGCATTTCACTGTTTCCATGTTTCCGATACAGTGAATTACAGAAATTAAATCTGGAGGTGATAAATGCGTGGCTCTTGTGGCCAGGTCTTTATCCAGCAGAAAGGGGTGATATTTCTTAATGAGCTGCAGGGGAAAGACACTTTTCATTGCTGATGCTACCTGATCATCCCAGCTCAGTGAGGAATCAAACAAGATCACTGAGGCTTTGCACAATTTTGACGAATGGGGGCTGTATACTTTCAGTGGAAGACATGGCACAGTATCTAGCTATTTTTTCAACCTGTATCACTTAAGTCTTGCCTTGGTTGAGCCAGCTGCTGTACATCAAGAAGGTGTATGCTGTATGTCTTGTAGTCATTATGACATCTTAGTAGTGGTAATGGTTATATCGGTGGAGAATGATATACTCATTTGGCTATTATCAGCATATGATTGGTAGTGGAACCACTGTCATCTCACTGTCTCTTCAAATACTCTCATATAAAAAAGGAAGGATATTAAGGACCCTGCGGGACCCTGCAAACTTCCTCTTCAGGAAAGAGGACCAGGAGCAGTTACCCTTCACCACTCTCAGGGTTATGCTAGAGAGAAATGATTGGAGTCATAGTAATGCTGCTCTATCTACTCCATTTATGCCTGGTAGGTTTATTTAGCAGTACCTTGTGCTCTACTGCGTAAAAAGCTGCAGAGAGGTCTGGTAGTGTGAGCATAGAAGATGACAGGGTAATTCCATTCACTCCTTGGTCTCCCTGCTAAAATGACTGGCAAGGTACCAATGAGTGACTATTTTACTGATGCGGCTATAATCACTACCAACCTAGGTTTCAGAGTAGCAGCCTTGTTAGTCTGTATCTGCAAAAAGAACAGGAGTACTTGTGGCACCTTAGAGACTAACAAATTTATTCGAGCATAAACTTTCATGGGCTACATCCAATGAAGTGGACTGTAGCCCATGAAAGCTTATGCTCAAATACATTTGTTAGTCTCTAAGGTGCCACAAGTACTCCTGTTCTTTTTACCAACCTAGTGTATTTGAACTGGTGCACTTTAAGTGAAAAGCTCCATATTAATCTTTACAAGTCCTCCTGTGTTTTATTTTTAAAGGTTTTTTTCTTTTGCGGAGATCTTCAAGACTACAATCTCTGTTTTACTCTTTTCATTGTTTGCAGGTTTCTAACCTCTATCTATATGACAGCGTGCTCATGTTGGCCAATGCCTTCCATAGAAAGCTGGAGGACAGGAAATGGCACAGCATGGCAAGCTTGAACTGCATGAGGAAATCCACCAAACCTTGGAATGGAGGTCGATCCATGTTGGAGACTATTAAGAAGGTAAGAGTGGACAAGGTTGGAAGCCCAATGTGCAATAAAAACTACAAAGGAACCAAAATGCTCTGATTTTTCTTTCAGACGAACTTCTCAAAAATGATTTAACCTTGATTTTAAGTTGTTATTAATGAAACTGTGTGGTCATGAAGGTGTGTCCTCTACAACAGGTGATGTCATGGCTATGTTTTGTATAAGTCACATAATGATGAGTAGTCGTATAGCTTTATGCATTTCACCAAACAGATGAAACCTTAAGTAGTTGTCAGAGTCGACCAGAGTAGACATTCCTTAGCAAAGCTGCTACCGGTAACATGGTTGGCTCTTAGGAAACCAGAGGAAAAATGATGCATTGTATAATCTAATATCTTGATTCTGATTTCACACTACTGTAAATCTGGAGTAACTCCTGAATCCAATTCATATGCACTCTTTCTCACTGTGCCCCAGACACACACCACTTTCTGACAGAATGTTCATTGAAACAGCATGTGTTGGTGAAAATGTTCCAACCAACTCTAATGACACCACTGTTTCATTGAGAATTTAAAGCAAGGTTAAATCATTTTTTAGTTACGCCACTGTTAAACTGGCATGAGCTTTGTTCACTGAAATTTTAATAACATTGAAAATACATTGTTGTCAGCCTGACTCGGTAGCTTTATTTTTTCTGGGCCAGAAAGTGGTGGCTTTGTGTTGCACACCAGAATCTAGGCAAACTCAATCATGTTACAAGTGTTATAGTTTCAGATTCAGCTAAGGTTCTGTCTGCTTTTTACTGGTGGCTGTCCTTGTATAAGTTAAAGATCCCAAGGCATGTTTCAAAACGAGTGGTAGATGTGTCTTGGCTAACAGTCTCTTTTTCAGTAAGGTAGTATATTTTGTCTAAGGCTATGTGTGAGCTATTGCAGAGCATATCAAGCCTGCCACATTAATTTAATTGCAAACATTTGCAAGGCATGTTAGGATACCTGGAGCATAAAAGGTGCTTTATAAAAATTGTATTCTAATATCTTTAACATTGTTTCCTTAGGGCCATATAACTGGGCTCACTGGCGTTATGGAATTTAGAGAAGACGGCTCCAATCCCTATGTCCAATTTGAAATACTGGGCACCAGCTATAGTGAAACATTTGGCAAAGATGTGCGGAGGGTAAAGATTCAGTTTTTTTTTCCCCCTGAAAAAGAGAGAGATCCTGCTTATCTGGGGGGAAATGCTATCCTTTTAGAAAGAATGGAAGAAGTGCTTTTGCTCACAGTACAAAAGTCACTTATTATAGAAATAATATATTCTAATTTCTCATATACTTAAACCTTGAAAGATAACACTTTTATACCATCAGAAGGGAGGTCTGCAAATTGTTCTCAAATGTGCCATATTCCTTAATATATTCTATACTGATGTGGTGAGCATAATAGTGAAGACTTTCAGGTGAATTATAATATAATTGGCATAACTGAGACTTGTCCTAATCAGGAAACTAACTGGCATATTAAATTACCAGAACATATAAAGTCTTTTGAAGGTACAGTCTCTCTAAGAAGCTGGAAAACTAGAGTTGGTATAGTAATGTGAGAGGAGGATGTTCTATTTGAAGAGAGAAATGACATATCAAAACTGGCTAGTGGAGCAGACACACTTTGGAATGAGATGGGCGATAGGACTGGTAAAAATGATCATTAATATATACTGCCATAGGATGAGAAAGCTTAGTAGGAAATGTTCATACAGATGGGGAACTGTAAATTAAGGCTAGCACATGAATAGGAACAGTTGATTTGCTTTGGTTTTGACTGGAACAGAAGCTGAAAAATGCCCACATAATAGGTATACAAGGGGTTTCCAGTCAAATATTGTTTTTAAATAATTCATATTACCATGGCATTTCTTATACTATGCAAAGCAGAGCTGGGCAATTAACTGATTTTTTTGTTCAGTTGGGACAGCAAACCAAAAAATCAGAAAAAATATTTGGTTCAGTTAAAAAAATATTTGGAATTTGTCAACAAACAGGGACAGTCTGTTTTGGGCCAGCAAACTGGCTGTGAGCATGTCTACCTTTAGCCCAGTGGCTAAAACATATGCCTGGGAAGTGGAAATCCAGGTTTGAATCCCCACTCTGCAGTAAGGATTTGAACTCAGATCTCCTGTCCCAGATAAGCAGCACAATCACCACACTATGGGTTATTTTGGGTGGGCTTCTCTCAATCTCTCCTGATGGAGTTCTTCCACCTTGCCAAAGAGAGGACTAAGAATGACTCTATAGCCTAATGAAATTCAGGCACTCACCCGGGAGGTAGGAGATGTGGATTCAAATTCCTCTTCTGAATCAGGCAGATAGAACATTACAAGGTGGTAAAGAGGACAGATGTATACACATGGTTTCCTGGCCTGGGAAAAGTTTTTCCCCACCGGAAGCAATCAGATCAAATTTGCAAATAGTTTCAGTCAATCCAAAACTGCACTTTTTGGTGAATAAACTATTTGTCTGAAAAAGCAGAAGTGAGTAGAGACAGAATTTCATAGTGGCTCAAAGTTTGCAAAATTTTAGTTTTTTATTTGTCTGTTTGTTTTTACTAATCCAAATTTCATCTCCCTGAAGTCCTCTAATGGACAAATGAATAAAGGTACACATCTACAGTCTTACTTAACAAATATTAATGCTTCTTTGAAACCGAAATGGCCAGAAGTTGTCTGACGTTTGTCTGGCTCAGCAATAACATTTTGTGTTTATCTATCCAGATTTTCAAACATTCTCCTCTAATTTTGGATTAGATACCTTAAAGGAGATACCTTAAAGGAGTCTGATTTTCAGAAAGTCAGTAGGGCTTTGCAGAGGGAGCCTATGTCCTGAAATGGTCATTAAACAATAACAGAAAAAAATCATTTCAATTTATATGGCTCCAGGATTAGATATTAAACTTCCTGCTTTGCCAGGAACTGTCTCTGAAGAATTTACATCAGGGTGTGAACCCTCTCTGTATTCAAGTGGTAGGAAACGGTTACTTTTCTGTCCACTTTACTGCATGTTCCACAGTTGTTCTACTTGAAAGAAGGAATACTCTCCAAGTCTCCAGCTGTTCCTTTCTTTTGAAATTATTCCATTTCGCTAATGGAAAATTAAGGTCACTTTGAGAGGCAAAAATGGCTGTTGAGCAGAGCACAAAACTAGGTTAGGAGCCCTGGTTCCATTACTGTCTCTGCTACAGATTTCTTCAGTGACCTTGAGCAAGTCACTTAATTTTATGCCTCAGCTTCTCTCTCTCTAAAACTGGTATTACAGTGCTTACCCCTGTTGAGAATAACTTTCAGATCTTTGGATGGAAATCACTGTGCAAGTGTAAATGATTATTTTTATTATTATTTACACCAGTTTCTGCCAGCATACATGCCAGAGTTCCTACAGTAAATTGGAGCAGAACAAACTGGCTTAACTCAGGTGAAATTCATGCACCCTTAAAATGACCAGATAAGGTTATTCAGAAGTGACTCTAAGACAAGAAAGGAAATATTATCTGACTAATTGTACTGGGGAAAGATGATGATGTACAAATAGGATACAACAAGGCTTCATGTTTGATCTCCTGATTTGTTTATATGAAAGATTTCTAAGTTTATAATTTATATTAAAGTGAGAGGATCACGTAATAATTTGGGACAATACAGTTAGATGGAGGAGGGCTTAAGTCTACTCAGACACCTTGACTGTTGATGAACAATGGTATCCAGTGCAAAGAAAGTAAGAAGATATATTTCTGAAAGAGAGGAATTCTGTGGAGAGCTGCTTATTGCAACATTCTGCTTTGAGCAGGAAAAGATTCTGAAAACATGTATTTACCTTTTAGTTTAATGTTTGGAAATAGTAAAGAATGAGTATCTGACTGGAAATCCTTGGGAGGAGGTGATATTTTTCACAGCATAAGTACTGTAGTATCTGCACGAGTCTGTTATTTTGATTTTCTCTTTTTTTTTATTCTTATTCTTATGTGACATTTCTATTACTGGAGGTTTGCAACCATGGTAGCCCATTCTGTACGATCTTCTGCTAATCTCTTTATGGATGAATATTCCTTTTGATCCACCCAGGATGCCACATTGTCCATCCAAGATCTTCTTTTTCTACCTCATGTTTTTCTGCTATCAACTTTCCCTTCAGGTGCTCATAAACATGCATCACCCACTGAACTTGTTAAAATGTACCTTGCAAATCAAATCTTTCCTTTTGTAAGGTCTCTGACAAGTGTTTGCTGAGTTTCAATTATCAATATCCCCCCCCCAAATTTTTCATTGGCTACTCTGACTATCCATGCCATTTTCAGAATTCTTCAACCAACACCATAAGTTGAAGAATTGCAGTTTCTTTATTATCAATTGTTGGAATGTCCATGTTTCACAGCAGTAATTTTAACGCAGACCAGATGTAAGTTTTTAAGAATCAGAATTTAGCCTTCAAATTTATGTCCCTTCTCATCAGATTTTTATTCCTCCAGAGTGTCTCTTTCACTCTTGCTATTCTGGTGCTGTCTTCGTTATCCAGTCTTCCGTCTTCTGTAATAATGCTTCTGAAGTAGCAATAATTTCTCATTTACTGAATGGCTGTGTCATTCGCTGGAATCTTGCATGTTTTCCCAGGAACCTTGAATAACACAATAATTTTTGTCTTGTCCACATTTCACTTAAGACCATATTCTTTACCATATTCAGATAAAATCTCCACTAACTTCATCAGACCTTCTTTTCAATCTGCATAGTGAATGTGATTCATCTATTTTCTTTTTATCTTAATACCTTCTAAGGTTTCTTCAATTAATTTAATCAAACACTTGCTGTAAATGTTGAATAAAGTTGGTGACATTTGTTTCACTCCTTTCTTGATTTCTATTAGATTTTTATATTCATCGCCCACTTCTTTATTATTGCAGCAAAAATCTGTTACAGTTCAAAAATATTTTCAATGGCTTGAAAATTCAAGCTCTTCTCCTTTTAAATTACTTGAGTGAGAGGCCAATTCTGGTTGAACTTCAACTCTCTCCATATAACTATGGGGTGTCACCCTGTTGGAGAGGTATGGAGGGTCCCCTATCTATAGATCTTCTTCATCCCATATGAAGTGACAGTCAGCTTCCTCTATGGCCCTGCCCCTCTCCTGGGCCTGGACCCCACAGAGAGCCCTCATGTTAGGCACTCAGGAGGGGTGACACATAGACTGTTCCTACCTAGTGGGAAAGCCAGTGAAAAGTTAATGCAGCATGAGTTTGCACTATGGCTGCCACTTTACATTGAGCCCTTGCTACATAGTCTTCTAGGGGTAGTTTCCAGCTAGGGATTCCCTGGGAGAATGGCTGAGATGGAATCATGGGAAAAGAACATAAGGTCAATCAGCCCTTGCAGGAAGACACAAAACCTTTTTGTAGATGGATGTAAGCTCCTCTGGGCTGCCCTGGGATCTGTGGCTTTTGCAGACAAAATAGTTCCACAGGGATGGTGAAGACAAAATTCCCACCTTGCCCCCACACAAAGAATCATAGAATCATAAGACTGGAAGGGACCTCGAGAGTTCATCTAGTCCAGTACCCTGCACTCATGGACTACATATTATCTAGACCATCCCTGACAGGTGTTTATCTAACCTGCTCTTAAAAATCTCCAATGACAGAGATTCCACAACCTCCCTGGGCAATTTATTCCTGTGCTTAGCCACCCTGACAGGAAGTTTTCCTAATGTCCAACCTAAACTACCCTTGCTGCAATGTAAGCCCCTTGGTTATTGTCCTATCCTCAGATGTTAAAGAGAACAATATTTCTCTCTCCTTCTTGTAACAATCTTTTATGTACTTGTAAACTGTTATCATGTTTCCCCTCAGTCTTCTCTTCTCCAGACTAAACAAAACCCAATTTTTTCAATCTTCCCTCATAGGTCATGTTTTCTAGACTTTTAATAATTTTTATCGCTCTTCTCTGGATTGGCTCCAATTTGTCCACATCCTTCCTCAAATGTGGCACCCAGAACTGGATACAATACTCCAGTTGAAATCTAATCAGCAAGGAGTAGAGCGGAAGAATTATTTCTCGTATCTTGCTTACAACACTCCTGCTGATGCATCCCAGGAGGATGTTTGCTTTTTTTTTGCAACAGTGTTACACTATTGATTCATATTTAGCTTGTGATCCACTATGACCCCCAGATTCCTTCCGCAGTACTCCTTCCTAGGCAGTCATTTCCCATTTTGTATGTGTGCAACTGATTGTTCCTTCCTAAGTGGAGTACTTTGCATTCGTCCTTATTGAATTTCATCCTATTTACTCCAGACCATTTCTCCAGTTTGTCCAGATCATTTTGAATTTTGATGCAATCCTCCAAAGCACTTTCAACCCCTCCCAGCTTGGTATCATCTGGAAACTTCAGAAATGTATAGTAGAACTTCAGATTACACTGCTCTACAGCCAAAATGCTTCTGAAATAAATGTAGTCAAACTTCACTAATTCTGGGTCACTGAGAATGAAAATGATGCTTAAAATTGTTGATTGGCTCTAGTTTTCGAGATATGCTATTGGGTCAGTATATACGACCCTTGACTTGGGAAAGGCGGAAGATAAGTGAGTTGTAAAGGGAAGGGATCTCAATTTAAACCAGAAATGACTAAAATACATCTTTGACTGGATCTATGAATAAATCTATGACTGGGTTT